ACTTAATTTTTAATGTTTATAGGAACGACCTGCAATTGTTATTTGGTTTTTATAGATTTCACAACTTCACTGTAAAACTTTGAAACTCGAAGTTTCATATGCAACCGTAACAATCTTATTTTGAAAACTAGGGAAAAAGAATACAATTCAATAGTCCTATATTTCAGTAGTGCATTACGCAGTGAAAAAGTTTAGAATAAGACTGTATAACGGATACGAAAACGCGTATCTCAAATAACATACGGTGCATTTTTTGACTAATGGTAAAAAAAATCTTACTCTAATATTATTAATTGCTTGCTTGTTTCTGGTTGATGCTTCTTCGTAATAATGCGTATAAATAACGTGACCTTATTAAAAAAAAAAGTGACACGCTTCTGGGACCGATGCGCTTCTGGACGGTTAAATAATAATCTAAAATAAGTAAAAAAAAAAGACAAAAAAAGAAGGAAGAAAGCGGAAGTCGTAGAAGACGATGAACATAGGAACGTTGAAAATTTTCCCACTGTGATATGCATTTAGCCCCAAAGAGTTATAGACTTACATTAGTATAATTTTACTGTTACTATCTCATATTTGCCATATCCAAAGTGAACGTGAGACAAATACTAAATACACTACTGAATAATACTGTGATACGAAATACATTGTTGTTGTTCAAACTAGGGAAATGGTATTTAAGTGACGCGGCCAGAAGCGCATCGTGTTTGATATTTGTTGAGTCTCTGCGCAAATTAGCGCGTAAATTTTTTGTTGAAAATTTTGTATCATATCTCGCGAGAGAGAAAAAAATGGGCTTTCGATCTGAGGATTATTGTTATCGGGTTTTTCCCTCGTTTCTCGCATGAGACCACGGAAGCACGTACCTTTTTCATACACATTGCTAAAAAGTACAGCGTGGATGAACTCTCAGGTCTTCGAAACAAATTTGAACTAAGTGCTTAACTATTCACCTGTTCTTTGCAGCTGTCCCTGATAATCTACGGATCGAAAGCTGCCAACGTAAATTCTATTTCAATAGACAGTGTTCCGAAAAGAATATATAAGTAGACTATTCTTTAAGCAATCTGCATTTTGCTCCTGATGAAAATAAAACTAATACTACAAATTGAAGTCAGACTTTTTGACGAGTTAGGCATGAAAAAAATTAAATTTTATTATTAGTTCTCAAGAGAAATTTATTTAATAAATCAAGAGGTTTAGTTCTTGATAGATTTTAAAAAGCAAAAGAAATCAGTTCTATATTTATCAAAAGGCATGTGTATTTTAAGATTATATATAGCGATTAAAATACATACTAATTTTCCAGATAGAGATTTTAAGCAAAATTGTGTTTGCAACTCGGCAAAAGAAACCGTAATATTACGCATAAGTTTATTTTTAAGAATATTTTAAAAGATGGTTCACGTTAATGTTTGTTATTAATCTCGGTTGCGCAGCGTTCCGCAGAGATTTTTGTATAAATTATAATTTATCGGGAGTGAAGTCAGTATCTTTTATGCTGGACTATTCCTACTCGAACTTCGTATTTTGGCGAGCATTCGCGCGCTTAGAGAAATTATTTATACACTTACTGCACACACCTTGTGTCTAAATCGTTCAGTGTTAGGAGAGAAAAAAATCTAGCGCATTTTTTTACGAAAAAAAACTTCTTGCGTGAAAGCAAAACTTCTTTCAGAAACGAAATGTCTAGTTACTAAACAAGAGTTTAAGAGTATATATGCTACGAACATATATAGAGTAGCTCAATGTATTCATTGGCATTAGCAAGTAGGCATTACAAGTATTTGTATATGTACTGGAGCGTATTGCGATCGGAAAGGATTCTCCGCACTTCATCTAAGCTCTTTTTTACAGATGCGTTTACAAGAGTCGACCAATTTAATTCTAAAATCTCTCAATCTCTCTGATAGCAATCTTATTATAGTACAAGCAACCTCCAATTTAATCGCATAGCGTTACGCGAAAATTATATTAGTTATAATATATTAAATTTAGCTGTAATATCGAATAATCGAGAATCGCGAGATTCGAGAAGTAAATCTAAAATCGGAATCCTTTCCGCTTGCGGTACATACAGATATATGTATTCATTAATACTACTATTATAAGAATATATACGTCCGAAATATGATATAGACTGGCATACTGAAGAAAGAAAACGGAAGAGAAAAGCAAAAAAAAAAGAGGAGAGAAGGAGAACAGTACAGCCAGAATCTGAAGAGAATCACTTCTCCATGCTGTTATTTCACAGTTGATTTCAAGATGTGCTGTATAGTTGAAGAAGAAGAAAGAAACAATATGTTGAATGTGTTCATGCTAGAAGAAAAAAAAAAGAAAATATTTACCACGTAAGGGGAGAAAGAGAGAAGAAAATAGAAAATTCCGCATTATGTAGTTATTAAAAATGGGAAACAAAGGGATGTAACGAGAGATCGAGAGACACTCGTCGGATCCACCGCGGCACCAAGTGCCACGTCACGCTACATTCTTGCAGTTCGCGATATTGAAAGAGGGACAAATTTTTGGCTTCCTTGCCGAAGACGATTCTCCGAGGTTCCGGACTGATTATTGATTTCGACCAGGAAGCACGAACAATATTTATCCGATACTTATAGTATTTTACGCGCCGCTGGACACGCATTATCAACCGTCTCTCGGAATAAATGTCGGTTGACCGCAAATCTGTATAGGACTAAGAATTGGAGTACCACTCCGTTTATATTAGCGGCATTTCAATGTGTTAAGTTATTAAAAAAAAAATCGCTAGCGCGATTATTGTTCGATTTGATTCCACACGTACTTCCAACTATCGGAAGTTACATCTTGCCTCAATTGTCCGCAGATTTTTTTTCCAAGAAAAAATAATCCGGTATGCGCGGACGTTATTAATCAGCCGAAGGACTTCCATTATTTTTTTTAACGTTCTTTCAACGTTCTTTTTCGCATTTCTTCTCGGTCATATGCAGACTTACGCTTGACTAAGGTATACATAAGTACGAAATAGCGTCATGTTCCTTAGGATTATATACACGAAACACTTATAATTCCATAATTAGTACACTGTCGCTTCAACGATCTAGACAAAAAAATGCTCAATGCCCGTTGTTCGAAGTTTTCGATGCAAATGCCAAAAATATATATAAAAAAAAAGAGAAAAGAGCGTAATCGAAGAACGGAACGATATTCAATTCTACATGTACAAACCGCAATGAAATACCTCGTTACTTATTCTCAGTGTAAAATAGCAAAAGCGAATTGTACTAACTCTGCGAGTTACGTAAAAAAAAAAAAAAGAAAGAAGAAAGAAATTGTCCTTCTGGTTCGTGATTCACGCACTGAATGCCTATCTTTTGGCCTTATCTTTTTACATACGAAAATCCTGTAAAAGCGAAAGAATCGATTCACAGACAAACAATACCGTTCACTCACTGCTACCTGTTCGATAGTTTTTTACGTTTCGTGGATATCTGAGGTTTTGAGATTTTTAAGAGATTCCCCGTTCAGTTCTCAGTACGCACACTGCGATCTCGTCAAACCCCATGCCTTTATCGCAAGCGTTAGTCAAAATTTGTGTCATTGCGGCCAGTACGCGTAGTATCTCCTCGTGCTGTGAAAGAGATCAGTGTGTGATGAGAGATAAATCTTTAGAAAATCTCAAAGCCTTTTCTTCAGAGTTCCACACAGTAATCGCAGCGCCCGAAATTGTATCTTGCTGCGAATTGATTTCAGCGTTTTTTTTTTCTTTAAGGATAGTATTATTACATGTAGTATTATTACATGTATTACATTCGTAAAGCGAAGTATATTACTCACAATCAGTAATTATGGTACATCGGAATCTGCGGAAACAAAAAAAAAAATTGTCGCATACACTAGCTGCGTGAGAAAAGTTTCGAAACAGACCATGAATCGAAACTTTAAAAAAATTATTTATTTGTTATTTTCGATTTCTATCATAAATTACGAGATTTTGATTTTAGACTTTATCAAAATTAATCTATGACTGTTGAAATTCTTCGTAATATCTCTCACATGTTTTCGGAAAGTGAAAATGTATAAATAATCGGCTAAATAATCGTTTTTCGTTATGATTATTTTCAATTATTTATCAAATATATTTATTGAATACATAATAATTTAAAATTATTTATAAATAATTTTATAAAATTAGATATTGTTAAAAATTACGAATGTTTACTTTTATATCTTTGCATCGTAAAAAAATATTTGATAATTATGTATTTATGTAATATTATTCCATTAGGTCCTTAAGGTGTTATTACAATATTCAGTAAAGAGATAAAGCACACAATAGTTCTTTTGAAGTTTTATTTCTTCATAATTCGAAATCGTGAAACTTTTCCAACGCAGCCAACAAATTTCCTGACACATATACGCGTGAAAAACATCTATCGTGCGTGATTTCGATATTATTTTTATACCTAAGTAAATTTGTGAAACACTGTAAGCCCAACGATTAAATTGCTCTGAACAAATTAACGTCGGAGTTTCACGAAGGAGCGAATTATGTTATTGTCATTATGTCTGTTAACGGTTGTATTTCGATACACAATATAGGCGAATTAAGATATTATAGGGAATTGATTATGTCTACAAATTCCGTGCTGTTTTTGTTACGGTATGAACTGGATCCTTAAATAAATTTTCTCAAAACAATCTCCCATTGTATTTATTTTAAATTAGAAAATGATTAGAGTTGTAAGCTTCGATTTCAAGTGGAATCTTATAATTTCACTTTTTCACAATTTAAATACTTTTATTTTCATTTAAGACTAGAACAACTTGCATTAACGCTTTATAGAAAAAGTATAAGACATTTCTACATGATCAAACGATATTTAAGGAATGTTTTAATACATTATAAATTAGGACGTATTTTAAAAGTTCTTAAGGTTTTCAAATATTGGTGTATATTGAGTCTCAGGATCTCAAGATATAGATCGCAGGATGCGGATGGTCGAATATCCTGTCAGAAGTTACGGTTTACTGAAAAAATCTTTATTCTTGCGTTACTGATACACATATTGTATTCAAGCGTAGACACGGCTACATTGTACATAGTACGATGTAATTCGCTGGCAGCAAGCCGTCTCCGCGCGCTTCACATTCACTCTTGTTCAATCATACATACACATACTCACAAGTATATCTTCAACGCGCTTTGTTTGCAAATAATCGATCGTTCGATTATTACACTTAGTGGGGAAACATACAAAACAACTCAAAATAAATTAACGATGCCGTGGAGTCAGTATGCTTGTATCGCAAGGGGAGAAACGAGCGCAATCGAAAACGTTAATGATATCGAGAAATCGTCAGATTTCTCGATATCACTCTAACATTTTCTCGCACTTCTCTCGAAATGTACGTAAGACTTATGAGACGAAGACTTGTATTCCCACTGTACATTTAGCTTCAAACCGCCTTCCTTAACCTAAGTCTTAGAGTTATAAGATAGTCTATGCTACATATTATCTAAGTAAAACTTAGAACCAGACAGCCACTTTCAGCTAAACATACGGCGAGAACATAATCTCGCGTGTGTACCACGCTCAGCCTCTCATAATGTATATCAACACTTCTGTAAAGTATTTGCTCGGAAGGCGAGTAATCAGTCTAAACCGCGAACCGAGGTGAGCGGGTCGCCAGCTTGCAGTTAAAGTTCGTCCCTCATATCGTCGTCCTCGCCGCCAGTGGGTGGAACACCGCCGCCCGCGCCCTGATAAAGTTTGGCGATAATTGGCTGAACGATATCGGTGAGCTCCTTCTTTTGTTTCTTATACTCTTCTGGCTCGGTGTCCTGATTGTCCTCCAACCATTTGATCTTCTCGTCGATAGCCTCTTCCATAGTAGCTTTATCCGCCTCGCTCACTTTCGAGCCGAGTTTCTCCTTGTCGGCTAATTGATTCTTCAACGAGTATGCATATGATTCCAGATCGTTGCGCGCTTCTACACGCTCCTTTAATTTCTTATCATCGTCGGCGAATTTCTCCGCGTCCTTAATCATTCGCTCGATGTCATCGGGCGTCAAACGATTCTGATCATTCGTGATGACAATCTTCTCGCGATTGCCAGTGCCCTTGTCCTCAGCCGATACTTGCAGAATACCATTGGCGTCGATCTCAAAGGTGACTTCGATTTGTGGTATGCCACGTGGTGCTGGTGGAATGCCAGTCAAATCGAATTTGCCAAGCAGATGGTTGTCCTTGGTCATAGGACGCTCACCCTCGTACACCTGAATCGTGACAGTGTGCTGGCTGTCAGACGCTGTAGAGAAGATCTGAGATTTCTTCGTCGGAATAACTGTGTTCCTACAAGAAATAAAGAATATCGTTTTATTTCAAGAATTCTTTTGATTCAATCAGTCAAAAATTTAAATATTTAGATTCAATAATATTCTTAAAAATACTGTTTTTGTTTTCGTGTTTACCTTGGAATGAGTTTGGTCATTACACCTCCAACAGTTTCGATACCCATGGTAAGAGGATTAACGTCAAGAAGTACAATAGCATCGGTATCTTGTTCTCCAGAAAGTACACCAGCTTGTACAGCGGCACCATAAGCGACAGCTTCGTCAGGATTGATGCCTCGTGATGGTTCCTTGCCTCCGAAGAATTCCTTAACCAATTGTTGAACTTTCGGGATCCTAGTCGAGCCACCAACTAAAACAATCTCGTCCACATCCTTTTTGCTCATATCAGAATCCTCCAAGACCTTTTGCACAGGCTTCAAAGTACTACGGAAGAGATCCATGTTCAGTTCTTCGAATTTGGCACGAGTCAATGTCTCGGAGAAGTCCTCGCCCTCAAAGAATGATTCAATCTCGATCCTGACCTGTAATATGAAAAAGTATATTAGATTGATGAAAAAAATACAAATACATATATAATAATTATATATATATATATATATGTAATAATTAATTACATAAAAAAAGCAAGAAAACATTTCAAAGATGGAAATAGTAAGACTATAGATAAAACGTATAAAAAAAATATTATATACCTGGTGACTAGCACTAAGTGCTCGTTTGGCTTTTTCGACTTCACGACGCAGTTTCTGAACAGCTCGATTGTCTTTGCGGATATCCTTGCCCTTCTTCTTCTTATATAATTTAATAAAATGATCCATCACACGCTGATCGAAATCTTCGCCTCCTAAATGAGTGTCACCATTAGTGGCAACGACTTCAAACACACCGTTGTCAATAGTGAGCAAACTGACGTCAAAAGTGCCACCGCCCAGGTCAAACACCAGTACGTTTTTCTCGCCGTCTTTTTTGTCCAAACCATATGCAATTGCAGCGGCAGTCGGCTCGTTAATAATTCTCATTACGACCAAGCCAGAAATTGTCCCAGCATCCTTGGTGGCCTGTATCAAAAATAAAAAATTATGTTTAAAGATACATCAGAATTAATTTATTACGATTTTTTCAATAAAATATTTTGAGAGATTTAAATAGAATATTAATTTCTTTAAAACCTTAATAATAATAGGTATTTTTGAACTATACGATCTTTTTTTTAAGTTCAAAAATAATACTAAAATATCGAATAGATCTCACCTGTCTTTGTGCATCATTGAAGTAAGCCGGTACGGTAACTACGGCGTGAGTGACTTTCTTGCCAAGATAGGCCTCGGCGGTTTCCTTCATCTTGCCCAAAACCATAGCCGAAATTTCTTCTGGCGCGAAGACCTTTTCACCTTGGCTGGTCTCAACTTTAATGTGCGGCTTATTGTTTTTCTCGATGACCGGGAATGGGAAGAATTTCACATCGTGCTGCACAGTGGGATCTGACCACTCACGACCGATCAATCGCTTAGCGTCAAACACGGTGTTTTCTGGATTCGTCGTCAATTGATTCTTGGCGGCATCGCCGATCAAACGTTCGCCGTCATTAGTGAACGCCACATAAGAAGGCGTGATTCGATTACCTTGATCATTGGCGATAATCTCCACTCGACCGTTCTTGTAAACCCCAACACTAAAAACATATACATGTTATTAATTTATTAATCATAAAAAATGATAAACTATCGTTTTTCTGTAGATTATTTTTAATAATACATCATTATGATAATGTATATTCACCAAGAATAAGTTGTACCCAGATCAATTCCTATTACTGTACCAATATCCTCCTTTTCTTTGTCCTCTTTCGCAATCGTGGCGACTGCTAGCAGTCCCACTATCAATAGACTTATGACTCCCTTCATATTGCTTTGTATGAACTATCCCTAAATCAATAATCACAGGAAGTCATTAATACACTAATAAGATTTAAAATTTTATTAAAAAGACGGAAGACACTTTATAAAAATTAAAAACTATTATAAATTTTCAACCAATAAGAAATAAAACCCAACAAAGCTGGATTTTTAGTGTTTAAATAATTCGGTGTATATACTACATATCAAATCCTACGTAGTATATAAATTTACACTGAATTATTCAAGCATCATAGATCCAATTTCGATCGTTAAGGATTTCTTTCATCTTTCGGTTATGTATTTACGTGTACCATCCAATAAAATTCTTATTGTTTATAATAAATTTTATTTATAAATGTGTTATTGTAATAATACATTAGTACTTATTAAATTTCGACCATCTTTTATATTGATTGTCATAAATATTTATTTTTATATATCAATTATTAATTATTAAATGTAATGAATTATTCATAAATTATACAATTATAATTTAAAAATATAATTTGACATAGAATGATCCTTTTCATCTATATTTATATGAGAATAAATTGATTAGGAAGAGATAAATTTTGAAATAAATTACTTGTAAAGCATTTTTGTCATTTTTCGCCTAATATATCATTGTAATCACATATTTAGACGTCTTAAGATATTAGGTTTATATAGCTCTAATATTCAAGATAGAATAATTTTCTAATTTCCATAAAATTATTATGATATTCGATTTATCCCGTGGAATAACAAATAAAAAAACAAATTAGTTTTTACAAGCATCATTAGTATTTATGAGTCAGATGACTTTCGGCTCGGTGGGCAAAGTCACACGTCATCTTTTCGAAGAGATAATTCCAGACGCTCCAGAGAAACTAAAAAAATCGTTCAATTATCGCGGTTGTTGGAATTTAACACCCTTTTTTATCATACAAGGCTGAGAAAGACGCGGGAGTTAGAACTCGTAACGAACAAATCAAACGTGGCAGAAGGTCTTCTCGCCGCAGTCTCCAAACGTATTAAAAAAAAAAAAAAGAAAAATATCGTATCGTCGTTGAACAGTATGCGGGCAAAAAAAAACGCGAGAATATGAAGAGAGACGTCGTCGTTTGCGAGCGACAACTTCAGATTGACAGTGAGATGACAGTGGAACACCCGGAATTCCTGGGGGAACAGAAATTCTGGTTCGAGAATCGAACTCCAGTTGCTGTCGGTATGTGACGGCGACTTCGACAGAGTGGAATGTCTCGACGGTGACAAATGAGACTCAAAAGAAAATGTTTAGCTCGCGACATTCAAAAGGAGAATTCACTCACCAATTGGACGTGTGTCTGCTCGGTTTCGTTGAATGTTCCTCGCGTTCTTCACGAATCTAGCGATCCTAATTCTCTCTCGGTGAACGGTAAAACGACGACTGACACCGACACCGATCTCGGGGGCCGGGATATTAACGGGAGTGTTACGTCGTGGCCGACGCTGATTGGCAAGGGCCATCCGGTCTCAGCGGAAGGAGGTGACGCTGATTCGCCGTCGTGTATACAGTTGGCCGCGCCTCGTTGGCCCACGTCATGGCTGTCTGGTTCCGAAGTCTTCACGCGCCGCCGCGATTCGCGGCCGGCCGATTAGATATGGTAGGTGGAACACGTGGACGCCGCACCAGCGAGCGCTGCATGACGCGCCAGGGGCGAAACCATCGTACTCATAACCCCGTCCATATGTTCTCTCTTTCACTCATAAATAATCATCTCGAAAGTAAATATCTTCTTGCATCATAGTTTTGCGTCAATGTTTATATTGCCGTATGTGATATTTTTAAACAGATTAAACATTTTTATTATATTTAAAAAATGGATAAATTTAAAGTTCTAACAATCTATAATAATCCGAAAAAAAATGTTTCATATATAATTATATATAATTATATGAAAAATTG